CAACCGCTGGATTGAAATATCGTTCTTTTGATCAAATTGTTGAACTGTAGCAGCCTGTGCATCCCTTGCACCCCCGGTAGAACCGCCCCTGTTCTATGTTCTCTTTACTCTCTGGCAGCTCAGATAAAACGTTACAAATCATAAATTTATAGATTTTACTACCCACAATAACGTAAGCCTGCAGATATCGCACAAATTATCTCTGAAACATCTAGTACAGGGTGACCCATTTTAGTTGAAATCATACGGTATCTGAGTTATTAGTAAAGATAGGAGGATGCGGTTTGCACAAACCTGTCCCACTTTTTTGTCGAACGGAAAATGCTGTGAACAAAATTTTCATAGCTCTCTTCGTTTCTGAGCTACAGATTTTTCTCGAAAATTTTGCGATTTGGGACAAAATCAGAAATCGAGAACGGACAAATCCGGGAATCAGGGAATCGGGGAGTTCATTGTTCATTGGTTCCAACTCATTGATTTGAGAAATAATCATTTAACAGAATTCTAATATTTTCAAAGTTGTAAAGAGGAATCTTGCTGAAAGTATATTTCACGTAAATTAGGTAAAAGCATATCTAAAATTTCCGGTACGATAGCTTCCAAGATTTACAAATAGCGCTAGAGAGTTAAGTTTCCCTAATATGTAAAGAATTTATTAGTGGCTCCCAAAATAAAACAAGAGACAAATAGCAGTATACTTTTAATAATTCTTTAGTTTCCCTTGTTATCAATCATGGCCTACTAATAAATATGATCTTTTAATAAAAAAATTAATACTGAAAATAGGTATAGAGTGATATATATTTTTGAGAAGCTTATGGCAAGCCAGATCATATAATTTATAAATATACATGGTATTCCATTTAAGAAAACATAAATTTAGATCATATCTTATGTATAATATTTATATATCATAAATATTATTTTCCTAGAATAACAGACTATGCCACTGTATTCTACGTACAAAGTTCTACAATAAACAGTTTTCACCTTCTCGATAGCTTTAACAATAACAGAGATACAGGGGGTATCCCAAATTGAAAAATTTTCAAAAAGACTGTAGTTCAGAAACGAAGAAGGCTATGAAAATTATGTTTACGGCATCTTCCGTTTGACAAAAAAGTGGGACAGGTTTGTGCAAACCCCACCCTTCTATCTTCACTAATAACGGAGATAACCCTGTACACAATTGCAGCAAATACTTACAGCAGGTACAGGATGAGTCCTAAATAAGTGCCAATATTTTTAGGGATAGTATAGTTGAATTTTATCATTGATCTACCAGCTCTGAAAATAGTTACACTTATTTAAGACTCACCATGTATATTTCAATAATTAATCCTAGATTATTAAAGAACGAATAATTATATTTTACAAATCTGTGTAACGACTTCGAACTGCATATAAACTAGCGAATTAACCAGATAAATGCGCTGTTATTTGGCACATACCATGCATTAAACGCACATTATCCAGTGCGGTCTGGAACAAAATGCAAACGCGGCCAGGTCAAAGGTGGACCGTGGTCATGGCGTTTTTAATTGGCGTTGTCGGCCGGCGGTTAGGCCATATTTTTATTAGCGGGCGCAGATTGTAGCGCGATAATTTTAAACCGCCATTATGTATATGGGTATTTACTTCGCCAGGTCATGTAATAACGTTTGATAATTCCGACGCATCCTATTGTGCGCTGGATACTTACATTTATTTGTTTGGAAGATGTTTCGTTTGATAACTTATTATCATTAATAGATAGATTCCAATCAATTAATTATAATAATTTTTCATATCTTGTACAGGGTGTCTCATTTTTGTTTAAATCATACTGTATCTCCTTTATTAGATAGAAGCATGCAGTTTACACAAACCTATCCCACTTTTTTGCCAAACGGAAGATGCTGTAAACAAAATTTTCATAGCCCTTTTCGTTTCCGATCTACAGGATTTTTTTTAAATTTTGACTCCCCCCGTATCTCTGTTATTGTGAAAGGTATTGAGAAGGTGAATACTGTTTATTGTAGAACTTTTTTACGTAAAATACAGTAGCAGTAATCTGTTATTTGACAAAAAGAATATTTTTGAAAATATGAATTAAAGTTATGTTATCTTAAATAGAACACTCTATATATTTATAAATCATATGATTTGGCTTGCTGTGACCATATGTAGGTGGCGCCCTCTACTAGTAGGAGTCATATTGACATCAAAATCAAATTTCTTATGCCAAAAAACTCCCAGACATCAATTTACATCCAAATATTGACGTTACTTCAGAAATTATTTAGAAAAAATCGAAATAAAAATGAAATTTCTACACCCTGTATCTCTGAAACTAAGCATTTCAGGACCTACATTTGTACGAACTTTTTTTTTTATTTTTATCTGCAGAATATGCTGAAGTTTCCGGAATACAATTCGGACCACCCTGTATATGAAGTATCACCCGTAGTACTATCTACCCTAGTGGAAAGTACCCTTTCAGGGGTGTTACGGAATTTTACACGATCAGTATTTGCCGTGGCATTAAAACGTGAGCAAGAATGTCAAATTTCAGGAAAAAAATATTAGTAATGTTCTGAAAAATAAAGAAAATATATTATTTTTATTTAACCTTTCGAAGGAAAGTTTTGTTGTACTTTTATCTGCAGAATCATCCACCAAAGTTAGATGCAGTATTTTTTTGACAGCCTGTGTAAAATTGAATGTTAAATTAACAATTTGGAGAACAACCATGATATAAAGAATAAACAAGGTATGATCGATAGTGTCTCCAATTTAGTATATACTAAGAGTATATACATATAAAAATTGGAGGCATATCACCTGTGATACAAAAAATCCGTATCGTTCAATTGCCACTAATAAAAAAAGACCTAAAATAAGGAAGAATTAGGACATAACCTCAAAAGTTATGTCAAATCATTGAGTTTGACATTTGAAAAGTCATTTTCACATTTATTATGTGTCATCAGTTTGATCATTTGAAATTGGCGCCTGCCGACCAATAGTGCCGATATGACCTGTGACGTAGCTACCAACCTGCGCATAACCGAGCAAGAAATATGAAATATTTTGTTATGTGGTGTTGCGAAAAATCAAAATTGCGATATCCACACAGTACATCTATACAGGGTGGCCCATCGAAAACGTTCCGCAAGGCATAACGGCCAGGGTAATTTTTTTTCAGACAATTTTTGCCCCAAAATGATTGCAAAATCTTCAACCCTCTAAGCGGGGGTGTCATCCCTCAATTTTTTTCAAATGGGAAAGGGGGTCAAGTGGTACCGCATTGAAAAGGGCTTTCTATTCTCTATACTTTCCCGCTTAGTTTTTGAACATCGGTCGAGCCATTGAAAAAATATGAAGGATTGAAATTTGAAAAGTTTATTTAAACATTTATCAGAGTAAATGATAAGGATACATTCCTTCGACCAATTTGCTGTTTTTTCTTATTATTTCTAGATGTTTACGCATTTTTTCACTTGCCACAAGGATGAACGATCGGGTTAGGTAGAGTGTACTTTCTTTTTCAAAGGTGTAGTTAATCGGCACAACTGTCGGTACTGGGCTGAGGACAACCCCAGGGTTTTTCACGAGGTGCACACACAAAACCCTAAGAAATTGAATGTGTGGGCAGGTATTTTTAGAAATTCTATTGTGAGTCCTTTTTTTCTTCCTGGAAATCTAACAGGTGATATGTACTTGGATTTACTGGAAAATACCATCGACCCAGCCCTAACTGACATCATAGATAACAATCCTGGATACGTTGAAGCGGAATTAATATTTCAACAAGACGGTGCACCTCCACATGACTCTCAAAATGTGTGTAATTAGTTAAACAATAACTTTCCCGTTCGGTGGATAGGGCGAAGGGGTGTAATTCAGTAGCCTCCCCGGTCACCCGACTTGACTCCTTTAAACTTTTTTCTATGGGGACACATAAAAAGTAAAGTGTATAGCACTCCACCCGCGTCATTAGAAGACCTGCGAAGACAAATTATTGATGTTTGTTGCGAAGTGACCCCGCAAGTTCTTCAGAATGTTCTAGAACGGGTTGAAAATAATTTGTATTACTGTATGGAGGTTGACGGGCAACATTTTCAGCATTTTCTTCATTAATAAAATAAGTTTTTTTTAATTAATTCAATTTATGCTTTTTTTACAAAAAAGTACTTTTCAAATTTCAGTCTTTCATATTTTCAAAATGACTCGACCGATTTTTAAAAACGAAGCGGGGAAATATAGAGAATAGAAAGCCCTTTTCGTTGCGACGCCACTTGACCCCCCTTCCCATTTGAAAAAAAGTTGGGGGATAACACCCCCGCTTAGAGGGTTGAACATTTTGCAATCATTTTTGGGGCAAAAGTTGTCCCCCTCACAAGCAAATTTGACCTGTTTTTGGATTTTTCGAAAAAAAAATACCCTGGCTGTTATAACTTGCGGAACGTTTTCGATGGGCCACCCTGTATATCTTTAGGTAATACACTCATTTATAGATTTTAATTACGGATTAGAAAAACCTTTTTTCGTTTAGGGGTTATATCTTCTACCATTTTAATTGTTAACTTCTACTTTTTTACAAAGTTAAACTCAAACAAAATTCAGTTGAAATAGAAATGTAAATAATAAAAATTATAATGATAAATTAATATCATATTCAAATATATTATTATTATTAAACAATAATTGATAATTCATCAGTTTAATCAGATTTTCATGAGCCCCTTGTAACACATTATACCAGATTATTATAAGAATTAGGTAAAATAAGCCGTTTTCTAAATATTAAGCTAAACACAATTGATTGTTATTAAGCAAACCTTCTTAAACATTGCCCGAGCCGACAACCACGCGCCGGGTAGTCACAGGGTATACGGCCCGGGGTCAACGAACCCGCGCCGCGTCCCGAGTGGGGGCCCCGCGGCTACGTCACCGCGCGCGCGGCGTCACACCGCGATCTTCCACCGCCGAGGCGTCGCTCGCAAACGCCGCGCGCCGGACAGAGACAGGAGAACCGGTCCGTGTCCTTTACCCTATCGTCCGTCCTACTGTTACGTAGGCACACACAGAGATTCGCTAGGGCTCGCTATATCACCACCGCGAATCCCCGAAATCGTGAGAAATTTTCAAAAGGAAAAAAATGTCTTGCGTCCGACGCCGCGACCGAGTCCTAGCGATCATCGAACGGACTTAAGAAAAAAATTAAATTGTAAAATGTAACCGAAAACTGTGATTCAAAAAAATCCGTCGTATAAAAAGTGATACCTTATTTATTTTATTAAGTGTCTAGATTCAAACAGGTGGTAAATGTGCCTTTAAGTGAAGGATTCTTCCAGTGTTTATAAGTGCGTTGTTACAGGTTTCCCTAAGAAAATAACAGAAAAAAGAGAGTGTCATTCAGTGCCATATTTACCTCGTAAATTAAATAAAAAAAATATTTTCAAACCCCATTCTCCTATATTTATAAACTTAATTAATAATAATTATTTCGATAAAATCGTACATATACACATTCAAATACGTACTCAAACACACACACACAGCAGCAGCATTGTTGTCATTTTAACATTATCAGCCGGCGTTCATATAATCGGTCATTCACATTTCGGTTAAAAATAGAAAACGCCACTATTGTAGTAAAGCTAGACCGAACCTGGCTAGATTTTATTCGATTCTATCTGTAAAAAAATAAAGAAATTCCTTTAAAAATGCCGTGTTTATAACTGGTAATATTCGGGATGTGAATAACCCGGAGTTCAATGCCTCGCGAGACCGAAAAGCTGTGCCGGCATCTCTTCTAGCAAGCCGGGCGACTTAATTTTCCTTCGATTTCCGCATATTTTCGGTCATAACATCGGATTTCCTTCCGAGAAAATTACTATTTTGACTTGTCTGTCTATCGAGACACGTGCAAACCCACTCGCAAGGACACGAATTATTATATAGGTACCTTAAAGTTGTGCAAACATTTTAATACAGCACAGAATATCGATTAATTAGTATTATTTACCGTTTTAATGAAAAACCATTAAAAAATAGAAATTAAATCGGTTTAAAAGTGACTTTTTTAGTTGTATTGTGGCTTATCTATCGCAACGAGAGTCGGCGTAGAGTGTTGTAACGCGGTTGCCCAAAATCTTGAAGGTCAATGAACCGCCTAAACTTTTGGCATTAAGTTTAACGAACTTATTTACCTTTTTTCTTAACCGTCATCGCTTAAATGTGGATATTACACACCTCTCTTTACGGTGTTTCTTGAAAATTCGTCGAAATTTTCCGTTTTTTTACGTAAAATAAATTACATTGATTTATATTTTTTTATCGAATTATGGTTTTCGTCGTTAGAAGTGGTGATTAAACGGAGATGACTATGTAGTTGCTGTGTTGTCGTACGAGGTCGTTGAACCGCCGCTAGAAATATTTTACTTTGTGAAATTACGTACCGTTGACCCTTCCACTTATCTCTAGTCGTTTCGTACGTATTTGATTCATCCAAAAAAAATATTGATAATTAATTTTTCTCTTTCGACGTGTATAGATTTTATCGAATATCTTGTGCGTCTGCTTGGTGCGAATCTGTTACAGGTAGTGGTCCAGGAAATAAAGAAATGGAAATAGACGTGGTACATCGGAAGAGACTTTTTTTGAAAATTTCCGACTCTCCTTATGTCAACGGATTATTCCTGACGTGAGGGAGGATACAGAGTGAGTTCAGTGACATTGCGACGATAATAATCAAGACGGTGGTACCCTGCAACGCGGTCTGCGTCATTTTTTTCAGTTGGAAAACGAAAATTTCTGCGATCGGTCACTGGGTGCGAGGTCGGGTAGTTTTGGCGGCAGTTTTTCGCGGCCATGCGCCCTCTATACGCGGAGGGCTGTTGTCGAAGTTCGTTCCGAGTGAATCATGGACAATTTTCCCGATTTGTTTAATGCGAATGAAAGTTGGGGTGTAGTTGGGGAACCCGGAACAAGTAGGGACCTGCTCGTCAGACACGACAATATTTCTTCGGTTGATTCTTCCACGCCGCCGCCACAGCATTTGGACAATGAGGAGAGGAAAAGTGCGAATTCTATCAGAGGTAGAGTTTCTTATCTTTAAGATTGTTTTTTAAGTAGGGCTTGAAACTAAATACCTTATCTAGTGTATTTGTTTTTCTTCGTATTTTTCGTAATATTTTGTCATTTTATAGCAGTTTATATTATAATTTTACCTGAAAAATACACTTTGGAAACTCTGGTGTTACATTTTAACCAAATTTCTCGTTTCTCGATTAAGTCACTTGTCATTTATGAATCATCAGCAGAAGATTAAAACATTTTTATTAAAAAATAGTTATCTATCTGTTGATAAAATATGCATCTAGTGCGATAGATTATTTTAGTGAATTATAATAATACCTCGTTATTGTACAAATGGAACAAAGTACAAAAAAAATCTTTATCCAAATAACGTAAAGACATAAAGATTAAAAATTCTTTCAATGATATAAATGTATTTTTAGTTGGACAAGACCTTTAACAACAAATGATTCGAAGTGGGGTCTATTATAAAGAGTGGAATCTATTATACAATTTTATTGTTAAAAATGTCATCATCATCATCATTTTCAGCTTAGATATTCAACCATTTCCAATTATGGTGTAGCCTCCCTTACATACTCTCTTTATAGCTGGACCCATTGTTGTCTATTGTTGGCTATACGGGTCCAAGTTATCCCTGCTAATTTCCTAATATCATGGTCCCATCTCAGGTTCGGTCTTCCTCTAGGCCTCTTAATTCCTCGCGGATACCATGCTGAATTTTTTTTGGTCCATCTGTTATCCGGTCTTCTTGCCAGGTAGCCTGCCCATTGTCATTTGAGGAATTTGACTCTGTGAATGACACCTATTACTTGGGTCTTTTGTCGTATCCACTCTATTCTTTTACGGTCTCTCTTGGTTATTCCCAGCATATTTCGTTCCATTGCATGTTGTGCGACCTGCAGTTTTCTTATGATGTCCGTTTAAAGTATCCAGATTTCGCATGCATATCTAGAAGTACACGCTAGTCGAATGTTTTCTTCTATAGCAAGTTAAAAGTTTAGATCTCTAGAAGATATATCTTGTGTTTATGTACTCACTACTGCTTAAGAAGTTATTCTATCATTGCGTACTGTAAATGGTTAAGCCAAGAAGTTACTTAAAGTTTTCTATGATCATCTCAAGTCTTCTGTGCACTAATACAATTGAAAACTCTAAATTCTATTACTTGGACGTTATGATAAAAGATAATATGATAAATGAATATAATTAGAAGAGGTTTATCCATAAGTTGGATAACAAGCGGCTAAGAAAGAAGATGATGATTAGTGAAAAGATAAATATGTTCATTTGTTTATACGTCATAAAATAATCTGACCGAGAATCTGACCCTTAAGAGCAAATATGCGTTTCTTCAAACTTTGATTATGGCTGTGTTTGCTTGGTCTACAAAAGTAACATAGTTATGCATATTGTAATGTATTCAACAAGGAATATATTCAAAGATTTTTCCTCTACAATCGAAGTAGGACTACAGCGAACTGAACTATTTCAAAAATGAATACTGCACAGCCCAAATGCATTTTGTGCTAAAGTCTGAAATCATGTCAGTCCATACTTCTGAGCTCTAATAAAATATGAACGCATGTTTCGGTATGCATCTTCATCGCAGAAAAAGCAGAGTTTATATTTCTGGAACCCGTCTAATTAAAGTAACAGAATTCAAGTCATCATCCAACTCTTCCCTTCTGAGGTACTTTAATAATTGGGCCGTATTACTTATATTTTACTAGTCGGCTGTTGGTGGTCAAAATAATTCGAGACATAACACGTCAATTCAAAAATAAAATAGCTAAAGTGATATTACCTTTATAATTATATTGACATACATTGTCTCTATAATGCCAACGAGAAAAATTACATGAAAACGTTAAGAAAAAATATACGTAGATATATTTATATACTCCGAAAATATCTTCACTAATACAATTAAGAAATAGGTACTTATATCAAAATAATTCAAAATATTTGAGTTTTTCTGTCGAAAACGCTACTGCCTCGGCCACCGCTTTAAGAATGTCTTATCTCTTTACTTATTATGAGAACACTTTAAATATACTTTTAATAGATATACATTATGTATTAGATGATGAACCTACTTATAGAAAACTGGTAGATAAATATATAATAGGGAGGGGGGGGGGTTTAAAAAATTTTAACAATAACGTGTATAATTTAATAACTATTTTTTATTTACTATTATTATACATTGTGAACCGTTTCAGCAATGGGTATGAAATGAAGATCGCTGTCATTTTATATCTAAAATTATATGGGGAATGGGAATGTCATCAATCATCATTTCCAAGCCAATTAGACGCCGTTTTTTATCTTACGGTAGTATCTTCCCATATAAACAATATAAATTGTTTTGTTTTTTAAGTATTTAGTTGTTTAAGTTTCATTCGGTTTTCGTTATCCTAATCAGATATCAAAGAAACTTGAGAAAATAGAGCGAAACATCAACTGTATGGGTAACGAGTCTTGAAGGCTAGAAAGGACACCGTCTTCGAAAAAGGGTTAGAACAAAGGATACAAACTAGCTTTTATTCGCAAGTCTTTTTATTATTCATAACCCTTCTTCTGCACAAGCACCCCTTCTGCAAGTTCTTATATGTTTCAAAGTGGACCCTTCTTTTTAACAATAACAGTCCAGGTATATCTCTATCAAACCATATTAATGGAAGCTACATTCTGAAACTTGATTTTAAACTAACATATAGACGGTACTGGGCAACAATACTAAGACCATCACATGAAAAATAATAATTTTACAAAGAAACGATATGTTCATTAATCAACAAACGGTTCTAATATTAAGAATTATTTAAGATCATCGTAATAGGCATTAGGAACAACAGGTCTATAAATAACCTGATAAATAATCAAGCACTGATCAAACTGATGCTTCATTTATCATACAACCATTGGCAGAACACTGTACTAAATGTACTCACTTGTTATTCCACATTTATCTATATCTTCTTATAAAATTACTTCTATTATTTCTTAGTGAAGCTCGGAAGTTTTATTTATGCCTTATAGAGAAGCTATTAATTGCAAGAAAATTACTACCACTATATGCGCATATTTGAAAAACTTCTTCTTACTTCCGTTTGTCTGTCTGCCCGTCTGTCTATCTGAGGACTTCATTCAGGTACCTCTATCCATGTGCCAAGTTTGGTTACATTGGTTATCTATTATACAGGGTGGTCCGCACCGGCAGCATATTCTGCAGGTAAAAATAAGTAAAAAAGTTCTTATAAATGTATGTTCTAAAATGCTTAGTTTCGGAGATACAGGGTGTAGAAGTTTAATTTTTATTTCGATTTTTTCCAAATAATTTATCAAGTAACGTCAATATTTAGATGAAAAGTGGTGTCTGGGAGTTTTTTGACATGAGAAATTTGATTTCGTTGTCAATATGTTTCCTACTTCTACAGGGAGCTACCTACGTAATTTTTAAATGGTTTGAAGAGTAATAACTTTTCGTCCGTACCTGTATAAAACTAGCGAGTTAAAAATATACATTTACGACGTTTTTTACGTAAAAAAGATATCTGGGTAAAAATTGCTACGAGTAATGGTTCTCGAGATATTTGGAATCGAAATTACCATTACCTGTCATCATTGACATAAATTAAACATGTTGACTAAATAGTTATTAGACTAAAATCATAAATTTGATATATTTTTGTGCCAAAAGTTCAACAAAAACTGTTTTATCATCATTTTTTGGAAGAGAAATTTATGATTAGTTTAAAAAAAATAAAAAGTTCCCAAATTTCTCATTTCAGTCAAATAACTATCCACTCAACGTGTTTATTTTTAGTCAATAATGACATGTATTGACTATTTCCATTGTAAATATCTTGAGAACGATTGCTAGTAGCGATTTTTACCAAGAGACATTTTTTACATAGAAAATCACGAAAATGTATATTTTTTCACTCAGTAGGTTTATACAGGTACGGATAAAAAGTTATTACTCCTAAAAACACTTAAAATACATGTAGGTCGCGCCCCCTACAAATTGGAGTCATATTGACATCAAAATCAAATTTCTCATGTCAAAAAACTCCCAGCCACCAATTTTCATCCAAATATTGACGTTACTTCAGAAATTATTTGGAAAAAATCGAGATAAAAATTAAACTTCTACACCCTGTATCTCCGAAACTAAGCATTTTAGGACATACATTTATATGAACTTTTTTAATTATTTTTATCAGTAAAATTTGATGCCGAAGTTTCCGGAATACAGTTCGGGCCACCCTGTATATTTATGTAATATTCACATAGAAATATTGAACACGTATATTTTCTAGTTTCCGAGATTCCAATGATGGGGCTCGAATTTGGGATACACTGTGCATGCAGTATACAATTTATGCTTGGATTGTTTTGTACAAAAATACTCGACAACTACCTACTTACTGATATTTTGTGATTTAATTTTATTCTAATAAAATCTACGTCATAAATTTTATAACGTACAATAAAATGATATCGTCGAAAATGTCGGAAGCTTTGTAACCGAAAAGTTAACTTGTTTAAATATTACAACATTTAATGTAAATATTCTCAGCACCTTTCGAGGTTTAAAACAATATTTTACCTTAAACATAATCCACAGACAGAAATTTACATCTGTATCGTCATTATTTCGGTATTGATGTAAGAATAAAAAGAATTATTTTTAACTAGAGGTGGACTCTTGCTGAGCTAAAATTCCTTTACCGGTACCCAAACAGTTTTATGACAATTCGGATCATTAAAATGTTTACTAACAGACCAGTGCAGTGTATCAAAATAAAACCTCAAATAAGCGGGACACCGAATACAATTGAATGAATGAATTTAGTAATGACCTTGACGATAACCAACTTGTCAAAAACTGAATAAAATGTAAAATTGTGTCATCTGCTAAATCCTTAGACATAATATAAGACAAACCAACAATATACACTAATTAATTTATAATCAAGTTTATAATACT